CTAGAGGGTTTACCTCTGTTTGCTGTAACTTTGAACCTAAGGCTAGAGGGGGTTCCTCCACGCTCTTTGAATTTGATTACCCATAAAGTTATTTTCCATCCTGATTTTACAGAGATGATTTTTACCTTTCTTTCTTTAATTAAAAGCCTTCTTTTTAAGAACCTGATTGATTTTTCCTTGTTTTAAGATCCAAAGGGATTGGATCTGGACTCACCAGGAATTGGTGGGGGGAAAGGGAAGGGAGGGAATGATTAATTCCTCCTTGTTTTAAGCTCCAAGGGGTTTGGATCAGTGTTCACCAGGGAATTGGTGAAGGAGTCTCTCAGACTAACCAGGGAGGGAAAGGTTTTTTGGGGGGGGAAGACAGAGTTTCCCAAATAACTAATAAATCATTTGGGTGGTGGCAGCAAAAGCAGATCTAAGCTGGTAGTTAAGCTTAAAGGTTTTCATGCAGGTCCCCACATCTGTACCCTAAAGTTCAGAGTGGGGAAGAAACCTTGACAACCACCTTGAAGAAGAATTTCTGGACAAACATACCAGGATCTGTATGACATCTCCGAGAGAGGTCGATGATATTTTCTGGACAGATGGTTTAAACGTGGAAGGGGTGGAGTGGGGACGCAACAGGGACCGGGGAGGTGGTCCAAGCACCCAGGGAAAAGAGGGGAAGTTGGCACCTATGCTTGCTAGCATGGATGTCACGTCTCGATACACCAATGATAACGTAGCTGCCTGCCTCAAATATTTACACAGATTTCCACCACAACTCCAGCAACTCCCACCCAGCCATTAAACTGTCTCTGGGACCCTCCCACACCACTTCCTGGCCCGAACTGCCCGGGGCAGCAGGGGCTCCGCGGAGACAGGCCTGGGCGGGCATGTGACGCGCCGTGAAGGCGGAAGGGCCCGAAAGGAGGCGCTGACCACAGACGGGGTGACACGTGCTTGGGGCGCGCGGCCAGACTCCGTTGTGACCAGGTTTCAGCTGATGGGGATCACGTTATTCAGAGCTCTGGCGGAGACCTTTTCTCGGGACCGCCTGGACCCCGCTCCCCACTGCCATGCGCTGCCCGTAGC